AAGGCATCCCCTTTTCCATTCTTCTTCTCCCTGAGATCTTTCCATGTGACATGTACCTTTGTCTGTCTGCACCTCTGGAGAGGAGAACCTGAGGGATGGGGTGCCCCAGCTGCAGAGGCCAGGGAGTAGGTTCCCAGGTGTGTTCTGCACCCACAGATGGAAGATGCTGGCCCTCAGATGAGAGACTGGCCTGCTGGTGGATGCTCCTCTTTAAGGGTGGATGCACCTTTTGCCAACCCTTGTAGCAAGGAGGGCATTCCCTACAGCTGTGATTGTACCACACCATGACTGCCAGTCGGCATCCTCTCCAGATGGCCACTAGAGTTATTTGGGTCTGAAGAGGTGAGTAAAGTGTAAAAAAACAACCAGGGAAAAGGAGAAAAATAATAAGAAGCCCCTCATTGGGGGATGTATTGGATGGAAGGTAGGGTTTCCTGATTAGTTTCATTCCCCGTGGCATTGCCTGGTGAGCTGACCAATCTGCAGCCAACACAAATATTTTACTTTCTTTTGACTTTTCCCCCCCTAATGCGACAAGATTTAGTTATGGTCTATTTTCACTTAAAATACCAATGGCCCATGTGGCAGCCCAGTTTCATAAAACAATCTTAACACATGGAGATTGTGTGTATTAATTTTGAACTCACAGTGGCTTGCCATGTCTCCGGGTCTTTCTATGTCTTTCTGCGAATTGCTCTTTGGAGCGTTTTGTTGCATGTATGAGCTCGGGCAGCTTAATGTCAGAACCTGATCATTTGTCAGGAACTGAAGTGGCTGCAGCTTAAAAAATAAAAAGAATTCTCCCCTCTGGTTGATTGTGAGCCGCATCTGGTTCAGAGTCAGGAGTGAGTAGGTTCCCCCTTCCACCACCTGTGTCTACACCTCTAAGTTTATTTCTGTAATGTAACTTGTCTGTCGCTCATCTTTGAATTTTCTCCCCGCCAAGAAGGATTTGAGGCTTAGTGCTGATGCACATGAGATGGATTAGAGGGGAAAAAGTCAAAAGACTTCTGGCATCGCCCATGCAAATTTCATCACTTTGGGGGGAAAATGATGCCTGCTTTCAGTCTCTTAACAGTCATCGTTTTCCCTCCATTTCATTCTTTTGCGTTTTCTGCACAGTACTGCAGCCTGTGAGGCTGAAAAATAGATCGTACCATCTACCTGAGACATGCAAGCCCTTCCCTGCATCCCATCTTCCCCCTTCCTAATGAAGCACTTTCTGGCGTTTCAGTCTTCATGGAAAAGGCCGACGTTCCTCTCCCACAGCCTGCACGGTGAGGATAGGGAGTGAAAATGGAGTTTTGCTTTTGTAAGTTTATCATTCAGCCATATTAGTTAATTAGCTATACTTTCGAGGTTTAATCTTTAATTGTGAATTCCCTATGACCACAAAAAAAAAACAAAACACCAAACCAACAAACCAAAATACACTTGAGCTGATCATACACATGGCCAAAGCCCAGTGGCAGACCAAGTGTTAGAATTACCCTAGTGCCGACTTAATTATGCTGCTGTGACGTCTATTTCACGGATTTTCATAGGAACTGGAAATCCACGTCTACTTTCTTTGCAAACTGAATTTGCATGTTGAGCCATCAAGACCCACTTGCCTCTCCCTGTCCCCAACCCTGTGGCCTGTTGAGAGTGAGCTGACGAATGAGGGGGGAGGGACTGACTTGTACACAGTTGCCTCTTATTTTCTTTTGTGTGGGACAAGTCTGGGTGTGTATGTGTCTGCCAGAGCCATGCGGCTTGCCCTTCCAACTCTGTAGATGCAGGAGGCTTTGCCAGCTTTATTTTGAAAACTAGGACATAGCACTTTGCAGAAGAAAATCGGTCCACTCACTATTATTTATGTGATTGCTGATCTGTTAGATGGATATAGAAAACACCAAGAATTATTATAATGCATGGAGTGGAGCACAGGTTTGCACACACTCTCTCTGCCTCAGGCTTCACTGTGTCTCTGGCCTCCGTCTCGGCAGTGGGAATGGAGCATATTCAGAATGTGAGGATGAGCCCAATGCACTGACTGCATCCGTATCTAAAATTAAGGGAATAAGTGAGCAGCTATTTGTGGCAGACAGGACATGATCCAGTAAGTAGCACTATTGTGAAATAAAAGTACATAATTGGAAAATGAAGCTGAGGCAACTGCCGAGGAGGGGTTGCGTGAGGAATTAGAAAGTGTAATTTAAAATCGTGTAGTCATAATTCAAAATGGGCCCAGCTAAAAGGTTTTTAAGTGGTAAATGCTTTAAAGTCACTTGTGGTTGATCCTTTCTCGAGGAATATGGGCTAATTTTCACTATATTTGTGGAATCCTTCAGCTACTTAGCTCATCAGCTCATACAGTGGAGCCACTAATTCCAGCTGCCGGGCAAAATTTTCTCTCCATGGAAGCCCCCAATGGCTGCAGATTGAGGTCAGATGCAAGACTCCATTGCTTTCGGACATTTGGGGACTGGGTTAGATATTTTGTCTTCTTTGAGCTGTTTGCTCCTTTTCCTTTCCTTTGAGTTCCTCTGTTTATTTTACTTGAAAAATTTTTTTTTTACCCTTTATGACAATTTCAGCTATCAGCTCACCAGTCACATAATTTTTGGCACAGGCAAAACAAGCAAAGAAAATATAATTTAAAAGTGATTTTTATGAGCTTGTGTGAGGAACAAGGCTTGTTAAAGAATTCTTTTCCAAACCCCTACCCCTTGTATTTTTCTATTAAATGTAATCTCTTGCATTTTCCCCGGGTGGGTGGGACCACGCAAGGGTATGTCAGCCTGGCTTTTCTGTGACATTTTGGCACATTGCAACAAATCCTTCGTTGTAAGTAGTGGCTTTCCAAGCTGGCTTTCTTTTTCGGCTTTGCTTTGAGCCCTAGGCCTGAAGATGACCAGGTGTGGACCAGGCTGGCCAAAGAGCAAGGCCATGGGCCTTCAGCAGTCCCTGCCCACAGTTAAAGGCTCCCAAGAGGAGGCAGCACGAAGCTGTGGCTGGCATCCTGGTGACAGCTTCCCAAGTGTTAGGCTCTTCAGAAGCTGCAGCTGGGAAGGCTAAGGCGGCTTCCTGTGTTTAATCAGACTGCTGTCCCTGTGCAGTCACTGATTGTCACCTGAGCTCTGGACTCAGGGCAACACCATACTGTCCTCAGTTCCCAGGTATTGCTAAAGATGTGCTGGCTTGTGGGGGAGAAACATTGGTGGCTTTTGAGGGTGGTGACCATAAAGACCCCACTCTGGCTTTGGTTAGAGTGACCTTCACTTCCTAAACTGCAGCACTTCTGAGAGCCGGAGAGGATGTGCTAAGCACGGCACCGGGCCATTGACTTTAGGCGGCACTGCCTGGCCCATGCTGACTGCCAGGGGCCTGTGCCAGGCTGAAGTGGGAGCTTCAAGCCACGCAGCAGATCGAGTCTGTCCCCCTTGCTGATCCGCTGTACCTCAGCGCTTTCCCTCTGTATCTTTACACTGGGTCGGATTGCTGGAACCACCTTGGTGTCACCTTTGCATCCATCCCCTTGTGTTGAGATGCTCTCCCCCTGGGCCCTGGGCACCCACTGGCCGGGCTCACAGTGGGGCCCACCCCCATCCTCTACCAGCGCCCTCCCGAGGGACTGCAGGAAGTCTGCTGATCCCTCTGAGGCCCAGCTTCACACGTGGGGCACATGGCCCAGGGGAGGCACATCGGGCGGTCAGTGGGTGAGAAAAGCTGGGTGTACCCAGCCACAGCACCTGGCAGCCAAGGCAACCAGGACTCACCAGGAAAGAGATGGGGAGAGGGCTGCAGGCGGGAGGGGCTTGAGTGACAACTGGAGAATCTCTGCTAGAGCCTCAGAAGTTCCTGCACAGCTTCTGGGTTCCGTTGAGCCTTCCGGCTGCAGTGGAAGAGACATTTAGTGAGCATCCACTGTGCGCTCGGCTCTCAGCTGGGTGCTTCTGCACCCTCTGTCTCTTCTTGTCCCCCACGTCCTCGGAAGGCAGCTTTAAACCCAGGCGGTCAGAATCAGAGGCCTGTGCAGTTTCATTCATTTTTTAACCCAGTCCTTCATTTATCCATTCGTTCATGCATATATCATTTTGTTCTTTGGCTTCTCATTCAGCTCAGACATAGACCCAGGCCTGCATGGAGAGCGTGGAAGGAGGCCCTCTGCGTGTGGGCAAAGCCGCCTGACCCAGCTGGGGAGGTTGGGGATAAAGTCTCCAAGGCCCTGAGCTGTCTTGGGCCTGGATGAGTGTGAGCCAGGAAGCGGGGAGCAGCCGTGGGGCAGGGTGGTGAGGGGCCTTCCAGGCCAGGGACACAGCCCTCGGGGTCACTGAGCAGGGTTCCTGGGCCGGGGAGTGAGAGGGCGGCCAGGGCCACGACGGGCGCCCTGAGGAGGTCAGTGTCCAGAGAGCGCCGTGAATCTAGGACCCTTCTCCCGGGGCTTGGCGCGGTGTGGCCATGGTGACAGAGCCAAAGCTGGCAGCACCCCAGACAAGGAGGATGAGGCCTGGAGTTGGAGCTCCTTCCTAGGCATCAGGGCTGTATACAGTCGGTGCCTAATGGCCGCACACTCGTCACTGTCTTGGGTACATTCGGGTGCCCTTTTGAGTGCCCACATCTTAGTGGACTCCTGGCCACAAGGACCAACAAATAGATGCTTTCGAGAGGAAAGCAGAAAGCATTGGGATGAAGGGTAAGATGCTGGGTGCAGTGGTGCAGGCCTGGGAGGCTGGGGTGGGAGGGTTGCAAGTCGGAGCCCAGCCTGGGCAAGTTAAAGACTTAGTGAGTCCCTGTCCTGTCTCAAAAATAAGAAAAGGAGGGCCGGGGATTTAGCTCAGTGGTTCTGCTGCCTGCCTCGCAAGCGAAAGGTCCCGAGTTTGAACCCTGGTACCAAAAAAAAAAAAAAAAAAGGAAAGAAAGAAAGAAAGAAAGAAAATGACTGGGACTATAGCCCAGTGCAAAAGTCCTGGGTTCCAACCCCAGCACTGAAGAGAGAGCGGGAAGGGGCAGAGGGTGGGGGGAGGAGAGAGGGGAGACAGACTCTGAACAAGCAAACCCTAGAAAGGGAGAGGGTTTCAATTTCTGCTGGGCTGGGAGGGTCCGGAGCTCCCAGTTGGGGCTCACTGGGCCTTTAGGGAGGGGCAAACTCATCCCCCCCCCTCTGTTACCCCAAGAGGAGACCCGTGAGGACACGGAAACGGTCAAGTGACTTGTCCCGAGTCTCACAGCACAGCAGCCCCCCAGACTGAATCTGGACCCTGGTTCCTGGGACGTCAGAGTCCAGGCTCTTTCCCGTTGCAGAGGCCCTTGGGCAGACCAGACAAACAACAAAGGCAAGGGTGTTTATCGACGCTGCCCCTGCCGTCGGGCCTTTTCACTTGCTATTCCCTCTGCCGGGTTCTCTGTCCCAGCCTGGTGTCTCCCGTCCTTCCCTTCTGCAGTGCTGTGGCCTGTGCACCAGGCCCGTGGGACCCTGCAGTTCTGAGCACCTCCCATCCCTCCTTACCCCGCCAGCCTGCTCTGACTTCTTCCAGGTACACACCACTACCTGGAAGCTCCTTTCCTGTCCTGTGTGTCTTTTGTCCTCCTGTCCTCAGGGGCCCACCTTGCTCTGCTACCCTTCCCGGCTCGGAGAGCAGCACCCGAGCATGGTCTCTGGTGTGTCCGTCCTTCCTTCCTTCCTTCCTTCCTTCCTTCCTTCCTTCCTTCCTTCCACCTTCCACCTCCTTGGTCCCTCTGTCTTGGCACAGAGGAGGCCCCTGCAGCCCAGAGGGCAGTGCAATGCACTCAAGGTCACTGCTGGACAGGGCGCCAGGCCAGGAGCCAGGCAGTGTCCCCATGGCGAGTCCCGGCATGGGTGTGCAGTGCCATTTGTGCGGCAGGTGTAGAGGCCTCCCAGCTAGAGTGGTTTGCTAGGGGAGCTGCTCCGCCTCTGTGGACTGCTGTGAGGCGGGGAAAGCTCGTGTTGCCGCTTCGTGGCTGCCGGGCTTCGGCGGCTCCATAAATATTAAATGGGCATTAAAAGGAGGCTCTGCGTTCCCAGTTTCCCCGTTTCTCCAAGCAGGGCCCATTGTGAACCCCTTTTATGTGAAACACAGCACTGCGCTGTGGAAGCAACCCCTCCAGGTGCCACCTGCCTCTTCCGGCAGAGACCCTGGTGTGGGGTGTGGGGTGCACTGTTCCTGCTTCCCCCAGGGCAGGGCTGGCGAGCCCTTGTGCCTCCCCGTTCATCATCAGTTCCATCCATCCATCCATCCATCCTTCCTCTATCTCTCCCTCCCTTCCTCCATCCATACATTCACTAATTCACTACTTGAGTGTGGGGAAGGCTGATGTCACAATAGTAGCTGACATTTATTGAGCACTTACTATGTGCCGGGCCTGGTGCAGGCAGTTCTCACAAGTTGCTTCTCAGTGAGTCAGGGACTATCATTTGCTGCATTTTGTAGCTGAGGAAGCAGTGCCACTGGGGTTAGGAGGCTTGTTCAGGGTCACAAAGCTGGTGACTTACAGGGATGAGTAAGAGTGACCCAGGCCCGGCCCTCGGGGACATCCTGACTCGTGGCCTGGGGTTAGGGCGGGAGAGGAGGGTGGGGCCGCCGGATGGGAGGAGCCGAAGGTGGGTGGGGCCTGGGGTGGAGCCTCAGATGTGCACAGGTGAGGAGGCGTTGAGCTCCCCGCTCCTCAGTGGCTTCTTGCTGCCTGGTGCCAGTCACAGACAGGACAGGCACAGGTCGGCTCTCCACCCCTCGTCAGGGAGGGCAGAGCCCCCTAGAAACTGTGGTAACGACAGGAGCAGGAGTGTCTGGGGGAAAGCATATGGATATTTATTCTGGTCTTCCCGAGTGGCGAGGAGGGGTCTGTGTTGTGAATCAGGATGCATTTTGGGGGGACGGGTGGGAAGAGAGGAAGACATCGCTGTTTTATTTGGCTTTGTATGGGGATGATCAAGATTAAAAAAAAATTAATAACCAGTTTCTCCTTGCACATAATTAAAATGTTCTCCATTCTCTAATTTTTGTCATTTCCTAATCTAATTTGTTTTCTGAGTGTGTCGATTCTTCTTCCAAGAGCAGAGCGAGGGGGATTTTTCTTCCTGTAACGTGATTGGGATACAACTGTCCAGGAATAGTTTAAATTACATTATTTTCTCCTTGGTTAAATACAGTGCAAATGGAATCAATTGTCAGAGGGTCTTAATGACCAAACACTGAACGCAATAACAACAACAACAACAACAAAATCTTCAAGATATTTTCTACTTACACAGTTAAAAAAATAATTATGAAAATAAACAAGGGAAATCGATGGCGTCAGTAAGAAGGTGCCGGCTGCAGCGTTCAGTCTCACGGGCCCCATGTTTCCCAGATTCTTCATAGCGGGGTTGGAATCTGCCAAAAAGGAATTTTAGCCCAGGAAATACAAATGCAAACTGCATTTTTCAGTGGAAGAAAAATTTTAAAAATGATAGCACCCTCAAGCTGAGATTTAAGTGCGTGGATTCAGATGGACAAGGAACATAAGGGAATTTCTAAGATCCTGATCGGAGAGGGTGACTGGGCATTAGGAAGGACTTTTTATGGGTAGATCCCTCCTCCCCAGGCCACCACTGACCCCTGAGCTGAGGACAGGTACAGTGCTGGCTCTGGGAAAACCCCTTCTCCGGGTGCCACTGAAAGATCTTTAGGGAGAATTGATGTTGAGGGAGGAATTTCACCTGGGCCATTCCCCACCTGCTCGGGCTTGCCAGGTGTGGGTGTGGGCCTGTGGGGAGTGCCTGGCGCTGGGGTGGGGCTGCAGGGGGCTCCTTCCTGTCTCGCAGTTCTGAAAAGTCCAATTTAACTTCCCTGTTTACAAAATATCAGCCATTGTCTTGTTCCAGCTCACGGTCACCCGGTAGATTCGCAGGATTTTGTTGGAGGAAAATAAAAATGTCTCAAGTATTTAAACATGTTGGACCATGCAAGCATCCGTCCCCAGTGTTGCGGGCTGTATTTTTTTTTTTTTTCCTTGTTCCCTCCCTTCCTTCTTTTTTCTTTTTACCAAAGTATATTCATCAAACTGCTGAGTTGGAAAGATTTGTAATGAGTTTTTGAGCTGTACGACTGTGTTTTTTCTCTCCCCCCCTCCCTCTTTCTAAATCTTCATCTGACATTAAATAAAGCAAATCCCAAACAGATTAACTGTCGCACGGTTCTGCTTCATCTCCTCAGTCTGTTTGCAGGTCTGGCGGGGGGCCGGGCGGCGGTGGCGGTGGTGGCAGGAGATGCCCAGGCGGCCCGCCGAGGTCCATGTGGCGCTCTAGGTGGGATGCCGGTGTCCTGAAGGCCGAGGCCCTGGCCCTGCTCCCCTGTGGCCTGGGCATGGCCTTCTCGCAGTCCCACGTGATGGCCGCCCGGCGGCACCAGCACAGCAGGCTGCTGATCGAGGTGGACGAGTACAGCTCCAACCCCACGCAGGCCTTCACCTTCTACAACATCAACCAGGGCCGCTTCCAGCCCCCGCACGTGCAGATGTAAGTGTCTGAGGCTGGCGGGTGGGGTGGTGAGAGCCACCGGGCGGGCTCGGGGACTCTGTACAACTGTTAGCAGGCCCTCTGAGCTTGTGGGCCAGATGTTGTGCAGTGCAGGAGGCCCTGGGAGGGACTGGCATGAAGTTGCAGGTTGATGGCTGTGGGGTGCCATAGTGGCTCTGTTGGGCCAGGGGACTGTTTCACAGATATTTATAAATGGTGTGATTGCTGGACAAAACCGGAAGGCCTGGCATCCCAGGCTTACACACCCTCAGGGTGACATCTGGGGTGCTGACTTCTGGCTCCCCCCTGCTATGTGGTTCATGACCCTTTGATTTACATAGATGGGGAGGCTGAGTCTCAGATGGCAGAAGGGACTTGCCATAGGCTCTGTGCCATGTAGGAGCGCAGCCTTGGGCCAGCTGTCCCCACCCCTTTTAGTCCTGAGACTAAAAGGGAGGGCTAGAGGGGCTCTGCCCACAGGTCTAGGGAGCCCTGCTCCTCCCTCGAGGTCTGATGGAGACACCGGGGTGCCCAGCTGCGAGGCTGTGGGACCCCTTGGAACCGCACAGACAGAGCACTTGTCCCTGGGCCTGTGCTCCTTCATGGATGATTCTGAGGCCCCAGAGGGTGCAGGTGGATGAACCCCAGGGACCACTTTTGGCCCCCTTGCTCCTCCCATCATCCAACACAGCTGGGCAGAGCTGCCCTTGAACCCAGGTGGCCCAACCCTCGTATCCTGTGGTGGGAACATGTGCAGAGGTGCCACCTCTACCAGGGAGTTCCATCCTTTGCTTAGCTTTTATTTTTTTGGTGGGGATCAAACTCAGGACCTTGCGCTTGGGAGGCAGGTGGTGGAACCGCTGAGCTAAATCCCGGGCCCCTTTGCTTAGTTTTGTATGGTTGCTTGGGGTGCCTGGCTGGTGCTGTGTGGGAGTCACAGTTGAGCCCTGGGGTAGGAGAGAGATGGATGACTCCCTAGTGACAGCCTGGGGAAGGCAGAATTGTGACGGGGTGGGGCGATCCAGTGCTGACCACTGATGGCCTCAGATGACCCTTGGGGTGCAGACCTGTGACCCTCAGGACTGGAAAAGCCACCCACTTAGAGGAGGAGCTGGAGGTCCCCAAACCTGCATGGCTTGCCCCAGGCCTGGCCTCTGCTAAAGATGGGTGCTGGGGAGTTACTCACTGGAGGAAGGGCCTGGAAAGCGGCAGGCGCAGGCCTCGGGTGGCTCCCTGCTCCAGGAGCACCATTTTCCCCAAAGTGCTTGCTGCAGGCCCTGTGTGGCTGAAGCCGCCTGCTGCTGTACTTTGGGGAAGATTTCCCTTTGGGAAGCTGCCTTTGGTTTTCTTTTGGAGACCAGCTCAGTGGATTAGGGCAGAACAGAGGCCTGGGTCTCAGGCACACGGGTCTTTAGTCTCTGGGATATTGAGCCTAGCAGGGAGCCTCACTGGGCTGTATTCTCTCTTTTGGAGGTGAGTTAGTCCTCCAGCCAGGCCAGCCTGAGGTCCCCAGCATCTCTGGGGGTCCCTTTGCCCCAGAGATAAAAAATGCCGTGTAGAGCTGACATTGGCTGTATCTCTTCCCGGACCACATGGACACATGGGGAGACCCTCGTCTGAGAACAGAATCAGGGAAACGAGGAGCCGGGGGAGAGAAGGCTGAGGAGGCTCCTGTCAGTTTGGAGGCATCTTGGGAAGACTTCCTGGAGGAGCCGACTTCTGGCTTGAGACCCCGAGGTGGAAGAGGAGCAGCAAGCGGGGGGTGAGGAGGATGGGGCTAGGCAGAGTGTGTGGGAGCTGTGCAGGAGAGGGTGTAGGCCCCCGGGGCCAGGCTGTGTCCTGAGGAAGGGCAGCGAGGGAGTGACCGAGGGGGGTGACCTCCCTCACCTAACCGAAGAGCAGTGGAGGTCATTCATTCATGCATTCATCATTCATTCATTCATTCATTCATTCATGCATTCATTCATTCATTCATTCATGCATTCATTCATTCATTCATTTGGGATGTTTGTGAGCAGCTGAGAACCTCGCAGGTTAGGAACTCGGGCCCTGAGCCAGCCTGCCTGGCTTCTTGGTGCCTTAGTTTCCCCAGCCATCAAGGGCTGCTGCTAGTTACACTGGGGATGAAGCAGGTAAATCCACGGAGTGAGGCAAGGTGTGCCGAGAACGTCCAGCATCGTTGGCACCCATCAGGATCGGGCTTGGTGCTTGGGACTCTGCAGGGCTGGAGGACAAACACCTCCCTGCAGGGACTTGCATTCCAGGCCGATAGCAGACAGGTGGCAGAGGTGTCTTAAGAGCACGTGTGACACTGGTAGCGATCAGTGCTATGAGGAAAAAGCTTAGAGGCAGTGAGAGTCCCTGCTTCTGTTGGCAGGAGGAGCATGCTCCCAGCTTTGGCTTTGAACCCCAACTTTGTATGGAGCTGGGTGAAGCCGGGGTAGGCACAGGGACTTGGGGGGCTGCTGCCTTCCACCCCTTGTTTCAGATACCTTGCCCTGCACTGGAGGAAGCATACAGGCGGCTGGAGGTGGCAGAGTGGGTTTCCATGGTGAGCCAGCCCCTGCCTCCCTCAGGGAGAGGCGGGAGGAGGATGCCACTTCCTGATGTGGGATTTACTGCCACCCCGGGCTTTGTCTCCAGGGTGAGGGAGCAAGGGGGCCTTATTTAATAAACCCACAATTTATATTTAATAACAACAGCGACAGTGCAAATATGGCCTCTGATTGAGCTGTGTGATTTATGCAGTTGCTCCAGAGACCCTGCCAGGAAGGAGCCGCTGCCTTTATAATAATGAATCCCCACAACTGGGCCTCTGGATTGGGAGCCTGAGGCTGGAGGCTTCTGGCCTGGGGGGCCTCAGGGAGCCCTGGCTGGGCAGGCAAGGCCTGGTGGTCACCAATAAAGTGAGAGCGAGTGTGCAGAGTCAGGGTCGCCCCGAGGTCCACACCTCTTCCCTCTGTACTTCAGGAGGAGCAGTGGGGGAGACCCAGGCCACCCCTTTAAGAGCCTCTGAGCCCATCAGACGGTCGTGGTCTTAGCACTTTTGTCTTTTTACAGCTCTGGGGGTGGAACCCAGGACCTCACACATGCTAGGCAAGTGCTCCCCACTCACCTGCACCCCGGCCCAGCTGCTGGGTCTTGAAGAGTATGAGGAGGGCAGGGAGAGCCAGTGGGAGGAGCCCCTTTATCCCTTGGTTGGGGTCCTCTGTGCTGTGCCAGTTTGGCACCCTGATCCCAGCCTGGGCACATCTGGCTCTCCAGCCCCCTCCTGTTTCACTGTCCTGCCAGGCAATGGGTGCAGCAGGGACCCCAGTCTCCCCAAGATTCTACACCCTCCCCTCTTCCAGTCTGTACATGCTGATTCCTCTGCTTCTCCATCTCTGCCCTCCTTAGGCCCCACTTGGGAGTCACTTCCCTGGCCCCTCCAGAGACCAGGGCTGACCCCCTCCGGTCCCACCTCAGCTCTCGGTGCTCAGAGCCGTCTGCCTGGTATGAGTTGTTCCCTGTCCCCAGGATGATTTCCCAGGTGCCTCTGTTCCATCTCTGAGCTCAACACAGGGGTAGAGGAAGGAGGGAGAAGGAGCAGGGCCAGGAAGGGAGCGGGATCCTGGGGGAACAACAGTCTCTGCTCCCGAGGCCCACGGGGTTGTTTGATACCAGCATGGTGCTGGCAGGGAGCTGGGGACAGACAGCTTATGGGCATAGAGGGCTGGTGCAGGGAGGGGGCACATTGGGGGCATTGGCATCAGCGCTCTGAGCTGGGATGGGCAGACCCTCACTGAGCCCCAGATACTGAGTAGCTAGTCCCACCCTGCAGAGCTGGGCCAGAGACTAGGAGGGTCGGGGCACAGCAAAAAGGTCCCCAATTCAGGTGCCAGCCTGGGACTGGGTACTGGAGGCCGTGTTCTCCATTCTGCACATTCCTGCCACCCCTACTCTTGGGGGAGGATGGGTGTTAGGCCAGGGAGAGCTGGTGGTGAGTTTAGGGTCTTGGAGCCACCCGGCAGGCAGAAGCTGGGGGGAGTCTGGGTTGGCTCCAAGAAGGAGAAAACATTTGTTTCTATGCTTTTATGTCTTGCCCAGTAGAATGTCACTGGGAAATAACCAGTTTGCTTTTTATTTTTTCCCCTATCACAAGAAGGCGTTGAGGTTAGATGGCCAAATTCCAGTTGTGCAGGCCTACTCGTTAGCTTAATATCTTGGACCTTGGGCATGGGACTTACTTGGCCAGGTGTTGGCTGCTTAGTCCTCAGGGCTGTTTTGAGTCAGCTGTCGTCTGGGGTTTTGATATTGTGGGTGCTAGGAACACAACTTAAATTGCCTTAGAGACAAAAAGGAGTTTACTCAGCTTATGTGTTTAGCTAAGAAGTTCAGGTTTGGGCCTAGCCTCAGGAACAATTGGTCTAGGGGTCCAACGATGCCTTCTCATAGATTCTTTCTGCATATCTCTTATTTTCCTAACTTCTTCCCCATTTCTAAACACAGACAGGGCTTCTGGGAGCTCCCTGCTGGGAGTCTCTGTGAGTAATCCCTCTGCAGGTGCATCTCTCACACCTAGCAGGTGCCTGACATTTCGGAGGCTCCGTCTAAGTGTCTGGCCATAGATCGATGGAAAGAAATGAGGTGGGCCCTGGAGATAGTCCAGCCTGCTGTGAGTTCTGGACCCAAACCCTGTTTCAGATTTCACTTCCAGCTTGCCTAGCTTCCACACCTGAGTCTGTGGGTCCATCAGACTTTTTTGAGCCTTGGTTTTCTCCTCTGTGAAATGGGGACACCCACAGCATGCTGTTTAGAGGTCACCGGGAAGGCAAAGAGAGCACATGCAGGTCATGTGCTGAGCACGGAAGGACTCATGATCCATGGAGTCACCCAGATCAGCACTGTTATAACTTCAAGCTTGAGCGTTTGTACAATCCAAATAGCTGAAGGCCTGAGCAGGAAACAAGTCTTTATGTTTTTCTCTAGGGATTTCTGGGTTTGTATCTTCTCTGTGTGCAGAAGCCTCGGGGTGCAGGGAAATAAGGCAGAGTTAATTAAAGAGCTGCTGCAGCAGCAGGCCCAGGCTGGAGAGCCCTGGCTGCCTGGCGGCACCATGAGCTGGGACGAGCAGGGTTCTGCATTACGGGGCCACTTTGGAGATTGCTGGGCCCAAGTGAGGTGGCTCTGGGTGGCATTGCATGCCCTGTCGCTTTGACTTGGTCGTGGCACTTTGCACTTTCAGAAGAGGTGGGGAGAATATGAATGGTTGGATTTGATTGGCTCACTCCAGTTCCTTTGCCAGGCTGATAGCTCAGGAGTGATTGGCTGCTTGGTCCAATCAGCTGTCAGGATAGGGAGGTTGTCAGGTGCCATGGCCAGCTACCTGCAAGATTGTCTGTCTTGGACAGCTGGTGCTGGGGTCCCAGAGGACAGAGGGGAGGCAGGAAGCACTGAGAGGGGGATCTCAGCTTCCAGACCAGCTCAGGCACTGCCTCCTGCTGGAAGCTTCTGGGAGGGCCCAGACCTGGTTAGGGCCATGGCAGGGCCCCAACCCTTCTGTTGTTCCATCATAGCTGATGGCTGTGCGGTCGCTGACAGGCCGGGTCTGTCTCTGCCATCAATCGGGGATGTCAGGTGGGCAGTGATGGAGACCAGTTCATCCCTGTGGTCCCCGCTGGCTTGGCATAGCAGGCACTCCAGGTGTAGTAGTGAATGAATAAATGAAGGAATGAATGGAGAGAGACAAGGAAGAGCCTTTCTGGCTGGTCATCACCAGGCACGCTCAGGGAACAGGAAGTTTGCCCCAGTTTGACCTGCTGGGATTCTCTGGGGCCTCGGGTGCACCCTCCCACTGTGCCATTGGCACAGGGGAGAGGCTGGCATGGTGCCTCCCCCTGCCTCAATCCCGCATGCGGATGCGCCCTGCACATTACCATGCTGAACCCACGTCTCTCATAAGGTGCTAATTAAATTTCTTTGAAATATATTGTCTGAAAAAAAAGGATAATTAGAAAGATGTCTTTAAAAGTATTTATGTAACTGCTATGGTACTGCTTTTGGTTTGCCGCATAATTAGATTTAAGCACAACTCCTCGAGCGGCATACTCATTTGGAGAGAGCTGCTTGTTGAAATGTCATTGCGTTGTTTTTAAGCATTTGGAGCCTGGTGGAGTTGTTCAGCTGGGTTGGCAGTGTGGGGTGGGAAGAGCCCTGGATGGGGAGCCAGGAGCTGGGTCCTCGTCTCTGTCCACACTCAGGCCCTGGGGACTCCGGGTCACATGCTCAGCCTGCTAGATGTCAGAGTCCTCATCTGTAAAATAAGAGGCCATCTGGGCTCCCCAGGTACAAAGACCTTCCTTTGTGCCGCTCTTTGTAAATTTCCCGGTGTTTTTGCCTGGGGAGGTAGCTCTGTTTTACAGATGTGCAAACCTGTAAGTGTTGCTTAAGGTCAAGCCTAAGTGACAAGCGGCAGAGCTGGGAGAAGAAGCCTGGGCTTCTGATTCCCTAGGGGGGTTGTCTTCTTCAAGCCTGGAAGGCTCTTAGTCTAAGAAAGATCTCACTACCTCACAGTTTAGAAAAATCGCCTCCTGGCTTTGAGTGCCTGTGTTCTACCTTCTTCCTGAGAATTCCTCCTTTCCCACACTGCTGTTCTTGGACCTGCCTGTGATCTGCTCAGCACCTGGACTTCAGTCCAGGTGTCCTCAGTGTAGACTATAGCACCCCCCAGCGGTGAAAAATGGTTTTTGATGGGTGAAAAAGATCTAACCTTTCTGCCTAAAGCATAGACAAACATGCGGTATGTGGACAGATGTACAGTGTTTCTTTGGTATTGAAATTGCATAGAAATAGATGGTAATCAACAGGAAGTTGGGAAATGCGGCTTCAGTCTAGAGCAGGTAGGTCACAATAAAGCCAGCTACACATGGGCACAGTGACCAGAGTCACTTGGATCTTTGACCTTCACCGCAGTCCTCAGAGGTTCCCATGGTGCACAAGGGTAAACTGAGGCTCAGGGGATGAAAATGTTCTGTCCAGATTGTGACTGAGGGAGTCTGGATCTAGACCCAGGTGGGCCCTCTGGAAGGCTGGGCGCTGGGTCTGTGTCTGATTGGACCTGATCTGAGTTGAAGAAGCTGCTCATCCCACAGGCTCTGGGTCCTGCAGCTCCTGTGATGCCCAGTGTTTCCTCTTTCCACAGGGTGGACCCGGTGCCGCATGATGCCCCCAAGCCACCTGGCTACACGCGCTTTGTCTGTGTCTCTGACACCCACTCGAGGACGGACCCCATCCAGATGCCCTATGGAGACGTGCTGATCCACGCGGGGGACTTCACGGAGCTGGGGCTCCCGAGTGAGGTGAAGAAATTCAACGAGTGGCTGGGTAGGTCCCGGGCCTGCGGCCTTTCCTGCTGCTCTCTCTGCCTGCCACCCTCCCGGCTGTACCTGCCCTGCACGCCTCCCAGACCTCTTATCTCTCCTTGTCCATTCCACCTCGGACCTCCCTGCCAGCACCTGGCTCCCTGTGACTTTCCATTTGTGAGACTTTTTTTTTGTGGTACCAGGGATCAAACTCAGGACCTTGCGCTTGTGGGGCAGGTGCAGTGCCTGCCACTGAGCTAAATCCCTGACCCTGTGAGACTATTTCTGAAGCCTGGGTGACCCCCTCTCAATGGGACTTAGTTCACATTTGTTTTATGCCCTCGTGTCCAGCCTCTAATGCCCCACACAGGGAGGTGTCCTGTAAATAACTGATGAATGAATGAATGGGTGCATGGGTGAATGAATGAATCACTCTCTAGGAATGGCGATGCCAGGGCAGGTACCCAGCTCTGCATACTGGTACCAGCTCAGCCACCCCTTGAAGGGTCACCTCAGCCTCTGTGGCTCCTGGTGGAGCCCTGGGGACCAGATGTGGCTCCTCCCATGGGCAGCTGTTGGCATTGGTGGCAGAGCACTGCCTCTTGCACTGGCTGATGGTGAACGATGATTTCCAAGCACATCCTTTGGGTTCTATGTTTGGGCTTTGTGCTTTTTTGTTTTTTCCAAAATAAGAAAGAAATAAACCCGGTGTACCCTTTGGGAGAATATGCTTGCCTGTGATCCAGAGAAACATCCCAGTGAGGTACCTCTGTTCCCGCCCCGGGAGGACAGATGGATGGCCCCTGAGCAGCCCAGTAATCAGGCTGGCTGGGGCAGAGATGGGGTGTGGGGCTGACCCACAAAGCAGAGGGCCAGGAGCAAGGTGGAATAGCTGCAGTAGCGAGAGGCCAGGCTTTGCCATTGGAGACAAATATTTACAAGCAAGGGCTTCTCCTCCACTTGGCAGGCTCTGTGCTTGAAATATTGATTTTTCAAACAGGAAATTCTAATCCAGGGTGGTGCAGGGGCTGCAGTGTGTGAAGGCTGGGTGGGCAAGGGCTCCTACAGGCCAGCCCAGCTGCTGCCTGGCACTCACCGAACTATCCTGTCTCTGGCTCTCAGCTGCTCCTAGCAGGGACCCTCTGCCCAGCCTGGCTCCTTCGCCACCTGCTGTGGGTCTCAGATGATGCAGAGCCCCACTTGGCTGGGTCAGGGGTCTTTTCAAGGCAGAGACCTGTAGTCACCATGGAGTAGGCATCCATTTGGTGCCAGGCACCTTGTGCAGTGCAGGGTCCTTCCTACCTCTGCCTTGTCGAGGTTGGGAGCAGCTGGTCACAGTAGTTACTGTTTGTGTTCCCTTTAAATGGAGGAAAATTGGTCACAACAGGCTCCCATTAAAATGGAGCAAATGAATGAACCGTACGACCCCTGGGCTGTGGGTGTGGGGAACAAAGCTTCTCCAGGAAGGTGATGGAGGTGGCTGTTTGCACATGGAATGGAGGAGTCCCCAGCAAGGGTGTGGGATACCCACCTAGAGGAATCATGTGCCCTGGCTGGAGCAAGGGGGTGTGGGGGATGCCATGCTGATGGTGGCCTGACCAGGCTCTGTGGTGAGGGGACCAGGAGCTTGTAGCCTGGGAGAGTCAGCACATGGGATGGGTGTTTTAGAGCCAACAGCAGGTAGGACTTGGGGAGGAGCCCAGCTTCATCCTGCACACTGCGGTCGGGTTGCGTACTGCTTGCCTGTGTCGTTATGGGTGGACAGGGTGAATTTACAGGGGTGTCTTCCTGTCTCTAATGGCTGCTCTCCTGGCCTCTCTTGGGTTTTGTTTCTGCTGCCTTGAAGGTTTGCAGATATTAGGGCTGTCACTGGAGTGGAGGTGGCCCTAGACCAAAGGGGAGCTGTCCTCTGTTGTTTGCTGGAGAAGCCAAGAATTTGCTCATGAGAGCAGTGCTCTACCAGCAGTGCTAGGTAGAAGTCCAATGGCAGCTGATTTGGAGGAAGTCACTGCTGCCTAGAGACTCACCTTCCCAAGCTGGTGGGTCTGGGCTCCCGGGCTAAGTGGTCACAGCGGAGACATGGGCTGTGCGTAATCTGCCTTGTGTATGGAGCTAGCGTTTATGGAGTATTTAATGTGTGCCAGGCCCTGTTCTATGCCCTTGTGCATTGTGACCTCATTTGATCCTCCTGATGATGGATGAGGCAGGAGCTATGGCTTCCTCAGTTGGCTTCCTGCCTGGGTAACTGTGGCAGCTACACGACCTGTCCCGGGCTCATTGGGTTCATTTTAAATACAAGTGGTCAGGCTTCCCTTATGTTGTTGACAGGTTGTTTCCTCTGGGGATGGAGGGAGAAATCAAGTTTTGCAAACTGTAAAGTGCTGTGTAAGTGTTATTATTGCTTCTTGAACTGACATTTTCAAGATAAGGGCTCTCTCCCCTTGGTGGGGCTAGGCTGAGGCAGGAGAGTCATAAGTTCCAGCCCAGCATGGGTAACTCAGGGAGCTAGTGAGACCCTGCCTCAAAATAAAAATTTTAAAAAATGGCTGGGACTCTAGATCAGTCCGAAGGCCCTGCGTTCAATCCCTAGTATTGGAAAAAAAATAATAAGAGCCCTTAGAGAGAGTGACAGAGATCTGCCAAGGAAGGTTGCCAGGTTTGATGGAGAAGGCCATTTAGGGTGCAGCTGAGTGGTCCTGGGGGCTCCTCCAGAGGTGACCTTGAGCATCCCGGAAGAGGGCCCTGGCCGCAGAGGCCCTGGGGTAGCAGAGAGCGGAGGGTGAGCTAGGCAGGAGGTGGTGATGGTTGGGGGGCCCGGATTTGGGGTTGACCCTCTGTTGTGGTGGCTTTGGGGGGTGTTGAAGAGGGGGTCACTTTGCAGAGTTTTCTGAAGCCACTCTGAACTGCACAGAGTGAAGGCAGCCAGGGCTGAGGCTGCAGAATGTTCTGGAATGGCTGTCTGGGATGGAAGGATCATGGGAAATTATTTTCTGCTTTATGATTTTTCCCTCTGTTCCCTGATTTCCTAAAGGGAGTGTGTATTGTTCTGGCAGTGTCAAAAAAAAAAAAAAAAGAGGCAAAACTCATTGTTCTTTTTTATTGGTATTTGTGATGCATAATGATTACATTCATTCTGGGGAATTGGGACATATTTATATCGTATCTTGATGATTTTCAATCCCCTTTCTCCCACCCTCCCCTCTCCTTTTCCCTAATCCCCTTCCTGACTCTAACGGGTCTACCTTCCTGTTTCCTATCATCTCACCTTATTTTACTCTTCATTTGTATTTTGAATTTCTCAAGTAAGTGAAAGCATGTGATATTTAACTTTCCTGTCTGATTCATTTCTCTCAGCATCATGGGCTCAGGTTGAGGAAACATTGGCCTCCCTGGTGTCTGGTGCAGTGTCCCAGGTCAGGGCTGAGCCCTGGCCTGGGGTCAGTCCTGGGTTACCTGGCTGCTCTGAAGTTCTCCTAGAGCCCTCCCTGTGTCCCCGGACCCTGCCTACCTCCCAGGTCCTTCTACCCCTGAGAAGGTCCAAGATTTAAAACCCAGTCAGCTTTGCCCCACCACCCACGCTGGCCTCATGGAAAGCATTTAAGACCACTTTCCAGATCCACCTCTGGAGCTCAGTACCAGAGTGGGCTGGGTGGGGCTTACTGGTGCTGTCAGGGGCCCTGGTCTGGGCCTGGCTGAGTGGTGCCTGCACTTTACTGCCTAGGTCCTCAGAGGGGGCTGGGTTAGGGGTGACAGTGTCCCTCTGTGCAGACCCTCTGTCCTCTTGGCCATTAATATCCCAAATATATTTATGACATTGAAATGCCAGCTTGATTTGTACCTGGCCCAGTAAGCGCTAAAAAATGGCTAAGAGCATGGTCTTCAGCTCTAAAGAGCAAGGAAGGAGGAGCCAGAGTTGCTGGAAAGGGACAAGAACTCTCTGGAAGTCCCCAGCTCCTCCATAGCCAGTGACATGGTGGCTGTCAGTGCCGAGAGCCTCACAGCACAGGTCTCACTCCGGACAGTGGCTCGTCCTCCTTTCTGAGGTGAGGACACCAGGCTAGATTCTGCTGCCATCCGAGTGACTGTCAGCCTGAGAGCAGGATTCACAGGATGCCAGAAAACTCCATGTCTGTGGCTGGCGGGTGCCAGGGTGGCCTCCCTGCCCAGCTGGCGAAGCCTGCAGCCCACACAGTCCCCAGGCCCCAGCCCTTCTGTCTCCCAGAACCATGCTCCAGGTGGGTTGGTCTTCTTCCTGGCCTCTTCTGCCCTGGGGCCCTGGCCATCTTCGGGGGTTCTCCCTCCCCAGCTTTCCTGCCATCCCTCTCTAGGTCCCTTCTCCTCCCATCCCTGAGGGGCTCCAGGCAGGGCCCATCCTTGGACTTCTCAACCACCTGTGTCCTAGATGACAGACACCTCCTGCCCAGACCTGCAGAATGCCTGCATCTGTTTCTGCAGCCAGGGCTTCCCTGAGACACCTCCTCCTGGGTGTCCACCAGGATTTCAGAGTCCATCTAACCCACACTGACCTCCTGGTGGGACTGTCCCAACTGGGGCTCCATACCCTTCCCCTTGCCTTTGAGTCTGATGCCAGCTGCTTCTGCTGTTCCTCTGACCCTGCTACTATGTCTGTCACATGGCAGGCTGTCCTCTCTGCTCACTTAATCACCTGCCAAGTTGCCCCAGGCACCTGACTCAGCCAGCCTGGCAGGCTCCCCTTTCTCCTACAGGATCCTGCGCACTGCTGAGGGCAGAGATTGCTCTGGGTCAGTGCAGGTCCCTGAGGGACCCCTGGCCCGTGTGTGTAGAATGAGGGAGGGCAAAGTCTGGGAGTCGAAAGATGAGCCAGTTAATTAAGCGGCACTACCCGAGCAGTCAGGCAGGGAGGAAGGGGATGGCCCTTAATGGAGTATTTAGAAGTTATAATTAACTTTTTCCTGGCGCCCTAGCATAAAGCCATATATATGACAATATAAAAGGGGTCCAAGGATTTAGTTAAATAGAGCTAGGTCTTTTGCAAGTAAA